ATTTCGGGCTATATTCGCCGCACAGGACGACCCCCGCCAAATCTTATTTTAAAATGTATTGAATTTATTAAATAAATTCAGTAAGCCTATATTTTCTTTTCACTCAAATTCTAATGAAAAAAATGGTGAATGCTGTATTTTCGGTAGGCTTTTACAATATCCTGAATGACTTTTCCCAGATAGACATCGACCCGTTCCAATATTCTCGAATAGGATCTTTAAACGTCTTGCTGAGACACACATCCATTTGTGTTTTTGTTCAACACCATCAAAAAAAGTCGCGAGCCTACCGTTAAAAATCTTCCATGCTAACAACTTGCCATAAACCACAGGATTTAAGGTTCACATTTTATACCTAGAGTATAAGACGATCTCCTATTGTTTTTTGTTTGGGATGTTTTTAAGGTTAAAAATGTCGCCTTGTACGGCGGCATGTACAGTAAAATAATATAGCAAGACAAATACAAAATTTACAATTCAAGGGAAATAACTTTGAAATAAGATTGTAATTACTTCCCTTATATACATACATTTTTTTTTTACTTGTATTAATTTATTGTATTCATCGACTTTTGAACATTTATGTATTTCTTTCTTTCTCTCTCCCTCTCTTTCTCTGTCATATCCTTTCAAGACGAGGGCGATCATGGCTCTCCACATTCTCCTATATTTTTGCTGCTCTAAGTAATTCCTGCACATTTACAACGCATTTCTGTCTTTACATGTTCTACGCAAAAAAACTGATAAAATCGGTTACTTGCCGGTTTCACCTAATTCATTTACATTCACTGTGTCCTGTGAGTGTTAAATTCTCTAAGCCTTCTTTCTTCACAGGCAGTTTCTTTGTAGTTTCTGTTTTCATTAAAAACTTCTCCGTTTCTCACATGTTCTGTCCATGATATTTACAGTATTCACCGGTACGTCAATGTCGCGCCAAGTTTTTTTTTTCTCCGATTGTAATACAATTGTCTAGTATTCATTGCCATGTTGGATATCAGTTGTTACATAGCACGCTTTTGTTTTTGTTTCCTTAAGATATTTTTCGAACTTTTAAAAACTTGCTTTGTTTCGGAAAGGCAATATTCGCTATTCCACTATTTACATTATTCTGACTATTGTCCTCATCTTTGTCGCCATATTTATTACAATGTTTGGGCCATTGTACACCCCGGCCTTCTTCAGGTGGTACAACGGCTGAAACGTTGTAATAAATATGAGACAAAGATATACAAAATAATAAGGATAAGACAAGATAATCTCAGAAATATAACCATACAATAAAGGGCCTGAAACGTTGTAATAAATAAATTACAAAGAATGTAAATAGTGTACGTAATACCGCATCTCAGAAATATAGACAGATACTGAAAGGCCGAAACGTTGTAATAAATATGGCGACAAAGATGAGGACAATAGTCCGAATAATGTAAATAGTGTACATAATACCTCATCTAAGAAATATAGACAGACACTAAAGGGCCGAAACGTTGAAATAAATATGGCGACAAAGATGAGGCCAATAGTCCGAATAATGTAAATAGTGTACATAATACCTCATCTCAGAAATATAGACAGATTCGCTATTCCGTTGAACTTTCAGATTTTTGTGCGACACTTTCTGTCGTCTTTTGCTAGCCAAATAGTTAAATTTCCTTACCAGCCTAGTTTTGCAGATGAGTATAGAACGCGTGGGTTTAGATAAATAAAACTATTTTTGGTGTCGGTACTTCGTCCTAACAGAATGCAGAGTTTTCTACAACTTTAACAGGGGACAAAATGTCGTCTGTTCGATATTAGGTATCTGAGCTGCAACTTCGTTTAGGCTTCTCTCTAATATTCACAGCATACATTTTTTTTAACATGGACGTTTACCCTGTACAGGACACGGAGACCACGCAAAGTTACAGAGTAAGTGGCACAGTTTTTTTGCGGATATGTGGGGAAGATAACGGTTAAACCTAGAATTGAACAAGTTAAGGTTGTAGTGATCTAGAGAGCATCCTCTTGGGAGACAGTTTCACAGGGCAGTGGTTCGAGGGAAGAAGACGCTAGTGTAGAATTTACTTCTCATCAATGGAATACAGAGGGAATGAGGGTGGTTCTCTACAATGGCGGGTGATAGACGAGATGGTTAGAAGCGGTGAAACTAAGGAATGTAGTTCGTCTGAGCACTTTCCATGGAAATAGCGATAGAGCAGGGAGAGGCTTGCGACATCTCGTCTGTGAGAGAGGGGTTTCAGGATGGAAAATGATTTGTCACCCACAAGGACGCGGAGATGCTTTTGGATTCTATCGGAACTAGAAAATGAAGACTGGGTAGCTCCAGCCCATATATGGCAGCAGTATTCAATTTTCGCCCTGATCTGGCTTTTGTAAAGGTAGAGGATAGCCCGAGGAGTCAGGTACTTACTGGAGCGGTACAGGGAACTGACCATTTTTCTTGCATCTTTAGTATGTATGAATTCGACTTGATGTCTGGGTTGAGTATTAGGCCCAATAGTCACTTAACATTTTAGCTCTTACTCTCTCTTCTGCCATTCATTTACACAAGCACGTTAGGTATGTAGGTTTCCCTGTTCTTCTTGTCCTCAGTATGTCCTATGAGTGTCAAATTTTCCGAGGCTTCTTTCCTCATTATGTACACCAGAAATGTCAACTATTTGTCTTTGATTAGAAGTGTCCCTTATCTTTCGGTTTTCCTTAAAAAATTCTCATTGTTTGCATGATCCGTCCATGATATTCTCATAATCCTACTGTAGAACTACATGTTGCCTCAAGTCTTCCCTTCATCCGTCAAGAAATTGTTTCGCATTTACTGTCATAGAGGAGACCTGATATTACATAACAGTTTAGCACTCTTGTCTTTATTTCTAACTAGATTAAACTAGCTCCTGCAGAGGGCTTTTGATTGGACCTTCGACTTGGTAGTCCCTAAGTCTTTGCATATTCTCAGCATTGGAAGATCACCTGACTGCCGTTTGATCTAGGTTTTCATTTGCATGGGAATTTTTTTTCCTCGTTGCAGATTGCAATCTGGTCCTCTGTTGGCGAAGTTTTCTACCGTATGCGGTAGGCAACAACAAACTACAGAAGAACTCAAAATTAATCGCTGCATTCAAGTATTGCATTAATATCTAAGCTTACCTTTTAAAAGTTCAACGATAATTCACCGCCATTTAATTTAACGTAGATCCTTACTTTATGTACAAACAATTATTTTTTTGCTATTTTATTTTGGCTTTCGTTGGATTTCGCAATTAATTTCGATTATTCCCATATCTATTTCCAAGTTATAAAAATTGTTATCGTACAAAAAAATTCGTCACAAAAAAATCCCGTACAAAAATCCCCGAAATCAATTGCAGCAATGAAAACTTGGGAATTCAAAATTTCAGGATTGCAGGTCTGGATCCAACCCAGAATGATTTTAATTTTCTCACGGGGTGGGACTGATTCCAAAATAGAATGATATGTTGGGATACAGTCTCTAAGAGTAAAGTTGAAAACACGGACAATTTTATTTTGAAACACAGTAATTTGAGAACAGTAATTTTTCCATTTGAACATAAGCTATTGAAAATTAAATAGTTGTGTCCCTTTTATTGTTTCCTATCAGAAGAAGCCAAGATGGCGGAATTCAAAAACAATCGCAGTAATAAAAACTTGGGAATTCAAAATTTCTGGATTGCGGGTCCCGATCCGGCACAGAATATTTTTAATTTGCTCACGGAGTCGGCCTGATTCCAAAATAATATGATATGTTGGGCAACGGCCTCTAGGAGGAAAATTGAAAAAGTGTGAAACACTGACACACTGACATTGGCATTTATTCATATAGAAAGAAATTTTTCTGTTTCTCAATAATTTATGTTGTTTTCGGGAGCCATTTTTTTCTATTCTAATGCTCTTTCGAATTTCGGTATTACATTTTCCGTTTTTTGTTAAAACAATGACACCTATTTAAACTTCTGTGCTTGTTTGATTATTCTGTCTTCATGATGATTTAGTCCTTTCTTCTCCTTTTACTACCTTGTCTAGGAGCTCCAGTAATTTTCTTTATGTGTCTGGCATGAAAGCAGTATCGTCTGTATATATTATTTTCTGAAGATTGTGTCCACCGATAATCAATCTCTACTTCTTGTCCTCTTAAGATCAACTCCCTGTAGAAGTTGAATAAGTCCGGTGTGAAGACCCATCGTTGCCTCACGCCTCTTTCTATTATTGTGTATTTACTAAATTCATTTTCTATTTGTATGCAAGTGGTTTGCCCCTCACAAAAAAAAAACAAAAACAAAAACAAAAAAAAATAACATTTAATGTTGGAATTTTTGTTACAGTTATTTGAAACAAAAGCAAAGGATAAAGATTTAGGAACCTAAAACAGAACAAAGACACAAAAGCTAGATGTGATGTTCAAACTAAAAAAAATATTTTTTGTAGATGTTAGCTAATTTTTTCATCATATCTTGTTTTTCGTAGGATATCCAGTAGGATGAAAGCATGAATGAATTTGAAACGATTCCCATGGGAAGTAACTCTTACCTGAATTACTTCCCATAAGAACAAAGAGCAAACATTACTGATAGAACAGACGATTTTTAAGGGAAGTAACTCTTGCCTGAGTTACTTCCCTTGAAAAATGTCTTTTTTTTTTTTTCATACATTTTTAGTCGTGTTTTTTATGAGATTCAAGGGTATTTTACGTTTGTTCTTATAAAATTAGTATCAATTGTAATGACAAAGTTCATTGAATATAATCAGTAACATATGTAGTAGCTATTTATATTTATTCATTTATAACTTTGAATTTATTCTGATATTAACAAGGAAAGGTAAAAAACGAAAAGTCATTCTTTCTTTATTGTCCCCAAAATTGTTAAATTGCCGCGAACTGAAATTTTAAAGAAAGATTATTTGAAATCTTTCTCGCTGCGTAATCAATGATAACATGGATATTCTTTCGCTTAAGTTTCTTATGGGTACCAGGAATTTGTTTTGTGTTAAAACGGCACAGGAGCGTATAGAGGCGGGTAAATAAGAAAACGATAAAAAAAGCGATAGACTAGTATGTAGGTAGGTAGGTAGGTAGGTAAGTAGGTAAAGAGAGAGAGAGAGAGCGAGAGAGAGAGAACGAGCGAGAGAGAGAGCGAGAGAGAGAGAGAGAGATGAAAAGGAAGAAAGGAAAACGAAAAGAAAAAAGGAGGGTATAGAAGGGAAATAAGAAAACGGAGAGAGGATGAGAGATAGAGAAGTATATAGAGCGAAAGAGAGAGAGAGAGAGAGAGAGGAGGAGGAGGAAATAAAAGGAGTATGTGTGAAGTGGAAATAGGGAGGGTGAGAGAGAGTGAAAGTGAGATGAAAAGGAAGGGAGGAAAAGGAAGAGAAAAAAGGAGGCTATAGAGGGGAAATAAGAAAACGGAAAGAGGAGGAGAGATAGACAAAATGTAAAGGGAAAGAGAGAGAGGGGGAAATAAAAAAGGAGTATGTGTGAAGTGGAAAGTTGGGATAGAGAGGGAAAGAAAGAGAGAAAGAGAGAGAGAAAGAGAGAGGAAAACGAAGAGAAAAAGGAAGTTATAGAGGGAGAAAATAAAAAAAACGGAAAGAGAAGGAGAGACAGAGAAGGAGAGACAGAGAAGTAGGTAAAGGGAAAGAGAGAGAGAGAGAAGAGGTAAGAAAAGGAGTATATGTGAAGTGGAAAGTTTGGTTAGAGAGGGAGTGAAAGAGGGAGGGAGAGAGGAGAGAGAGAGAGAGAGAGAGAGAGAGAGAGGGGTTGGCTCATTTGTCTTTGCGAGAAGCAAGGACAGACGAAGGTCAAATGATGCCCTAAGCATGCTCCATCAATGGTGCCCTCAACTTAGCCAGTGATTAACTGTCAAGATATTAAGACAGATGGTGGGTCTGAGATTCCAAAAAACCACCGCCTCTTTGTCCTTGTGGGTTATTTTCGTTTCTGTAGACTTCTTTTTTGTTAGGCATGATGAATATTTTTCATCTTTCTTCTTTGTCCTTCGTTTTTCTGCACCGTCGAGTGAGTTTGGCGCCAGAATTTGAGATGTACCGTTTGTTTCTCGTATCCACAAAGCAGGTGTTCGTGAGAAGCTGCTGCTCGGGTGAACTTATATCTCACCGATGAAATTGAATGTGGTTCGCTACAATGGGCGTGGCATGGTGGGTCTTAACCGTAAAGGTTAGAACTGGTGGGACTAAGGAATGTAGTTCGTCCGAACATTTTCCATAGAAATAGCGACAGGGCCGCCAGAGGCTTGTGACGTTTCGCCTGTGAGAAAGGCGTCGTAGGATTGAAAATAATTCGTCACCTATAAGGACACGGAGACGCTTTTGGACTCTGTCAAGACTGGAAAGTGAAGACCATGCAGCTCCTTCCCATATATGACAAGAACAGTATTCCATTTCTGGCCTGATCCGGATCTTGCAACGGTAGATCATACCAGGAGGAGTCAGGCACTGACTGGAGCAGTGCAAGGAACCAACAATTTCTGGGATGAAGAGTTATCATTATATTATTTATATGTAGAATATTCTCCGCATCTTTGTTGGTATATCACAAAGTTTCGACCGTTGTACTCTTCGGTCTTCATCAGATGCATGTCGATCTGTTTGGTTTGGTCTGTTTTGTTTTACGACATATCAACTTCGATGGGTTATTTAATGTCGACAAGATTGTTACAACAGACTTGTATAGATAGAATATGTATTCTTTGTAACATATCCGTTTGTAAAGGTTTTATTGATATCCGTTTGTAAATCCGGCTCAATTTATATCCGTTTGTAAACCAGGTTTCATTGATATCCGTATGTAGATCAGGTTTCATTGATATCCGCTTGTAAATCTGATTTTATTGATATCCTTTTTTAAATCTGGTTTCATTGATATCCGTTGTTAAACCAGGTTTCTTTGATATCCGTTTGTAAACCAGGTTTCATTGATATCCATCTGTAAACCAGGTTTCTTTGATATCCGTTTGTAAATCAGGTTTTATTCATATCCGTTTTTAATTCAGGCTTCATTTATATCCGATTGTAAATCAGGGTTCATCGATATCCGTTTGTAAATCTGGTTCAATTTATATCAGTTTGTAAATCACGTTTCATTGATATCCGTTTGTAAATTTGGTTTCATTCATATGCGTTTGTCAAGAGGGTTTTTTCTTTGTCGATCTGAATAAGCTTCATGAAAACTGAGTGAACAATAATTGAGCTGTACTAAATAAGAACTAGATAAAATATCCCGAGACTACGTCAGTGGATTGCGAACAACCTATCGTTGTAGATTAAATAAATTCTGCAGTTCGATATTTCCTGAAGGTTACTCAGATCGACAAGCTCCTGGTGAAAGCCGTTCATGTTAAGCCGGCCTGAATTATTGGAGTGTAAATGGAGTGTTAATCGTCGGTGTCAGTCGCCTGAGACATTTGATCTATCTACTGTGTCAACGGTGTGCTGGAAATATTTGATGGAAGAGATAGTTTTTTCTTTTACACACTTGTTGAAGGCTGAAAATCAATAATCTGAAACGTCGTTGCAAAGAAAAGGTCCAATTGTTCGAATAAATATTCCATTGTCACTCCCTTTTTTCAAAGTTATAGAGAAAACGAAAGAGCTGTCCAGTGTCAGGTAAGGTTTAATCAGAGTCAGGTAAGGTTCAAACTCGTCCACGACATTCCATGGACGATTTTACTTTTTGGCAAATACCAAAGGTAGAAGGGAGCTAAATCTTAACTCTCGTATTTTCTACATTATTTACATTGTTTGGACTGTTGTCCTCGTCTTTATTGCCATATTCACGACTTTTCGGTCGTTGTACGCTCCGGCCTTCTCAAGGTGATCGAAATTTCGAACTGAACCTTTTATTTCATACATCGGAGTAGATTGTTCTAGTTCCAAGTGCCATACCTCTTCCGGATGTCTGTCATCTCCCTTTAATTCAACTCTCCAAGTTTTTATTCACCACTGCATTATCAAGGTATTGAACTCACAACTCTTTGGGTCAAATCACTGGATCCAACCAACGCTTTTATCCACTGGGCTACGTGTCCTTGAAACGCCGTGAATAAAGATGAGGACAACAGTCTGAACAATGTAAATAATATAAATAATTACAATACCTCACCTCAGAAATATAGACAGATCCTGAAGAAGGCCAGGCCTTACAAGGTCCGAAACGTCGTGGACATGGCGATAAAGATGGGGATAACAGTCCGAACAATATGAATAATGTCAGTAATTACAACACCACATCTCAGAAATATAGACAGATCCTGAAGAAGGCCAAACCTTACAAGGGCCGAAACGTTGTGAACATGACGAAAAAGATGGGGACAACAGTCCGAACAATATAAATAATGTCAGTAATTACAACAACACATCTCAGAAATATTGACAGATCCTGAAGAAGTCCGGAGCGTACAACGTCCGAAACGTCGTGAACATGACAATAAAGATGAGGACAACAGTCCGAACAACGTAAATAATTACAATACCTCACGGCATCTACTACAAAGGTAGACACCGGTTCGAAATCTGCACGGAGTGCATATTTCTTTATTAAGACTTTCGAATGCACACGCCGGTAGATGTAATTCACACTGTTTTAAAAACTGTCTGTCTACTTAATTATGTATATGTACGAAAATAATGTTTTCATTCAGAATGATATTAATATTCTGTGACTTCCGTCCGTCCGTCACACCCTCTAAAATAGCCATATATTGTCCGATCGAAACCAAATTTTTTGGAGAAGTGCAAACAGGGAAGGGGGTACAAATTACAGATGCATTTACTAGGGTGCGTAAAAACGGCGAAGTCGGGTATTTTTCCGAACAAATCAGCTTCAAATTTCATCGATTGGTTTGCGAAATTGAACGAAACATAAAGTTTGCAAATCTCGACGAAAAATGTTAGCAATAACTTCAACAACATTAAATACTGTGAGGATTTTAACACTCGTCAAAGTGTTGCAAAAAATTCTAGTACACTAAATATGAAATATCAGTCCATATTATTATTATTATTATTATTATTATTATTAATTATCGCATAAGATGACTACCAAATTTCCGATTTAAAATGTATATTTCGGGCTATATTCGGCGAACAGGACGACACCCGCCAAATTTTATTTTAAAATGTATTGTATTGAATTTGTCGGAGTTAGCTCCTCCTTAATTCCCTAATTGTTCATTAGGGGGCGCTCTCCCTATGCTATAAATACTGGGCGACTTCTTGCCTCGTTCTCTTTTTCACGTTGCATTTCAGCGGACACATTTAAAAGTCGGCACTGATGCCAACAACAGAGCGGTACCAGTCTGTTTATATATATATATATATATATATATATATATATATATATATATATATATATAATCTTATAAATATAAGCAGCTATACTCGTCCGGCAAAACCTTAGGTGTTTTAGCTTGTAAATGAACAAGCCAATATCCAAGGAAAAAAAAAAAGTTAAAAAAAGAAAGAACTAAGAACATGTACTTCCGGCGAAAATAATCGTCTAGAATTAAAGTTCAGAGTCCAAAGAAAAAAATACCCCCGACACGAGTAAAGCAAAATTGACTAAATAAAGTGCTCAATACGCTAAGTAGAGCAAACTAAGTAAACCTAAAGAGCCAGACAAACCTACATAGGTTTCACCTACGCTGGTAAACTGGTTTACCCTGACGATCCGCGTAGGTCAAACCTAGGTAGCTTACGTTTATATATATATATATATATATATATATATATATATATATATATATATATATAAAGAAATGGACAAGGTCCGACAATTTATTTATTAAAGACATTTTTATGTTTAACGTTGTTATTTATAGATACAAGTATCTATAAATAACAACGCTAAACAAAAAAAAAACATTTTTATGTTTAACGTTGTTATTTATAGATACAAGTATCTATAAATAACAACGCTAAACATAAAAATGTCTTTAATAAATAAATTGTCTGACCTTGTCCATTTCTTAATATATGACGTCATTTGTTTACATTTGATACGCCAGAGCAGTTATGAATGTACGAGATTCATGGAAGATTGAAGTTTATAAGCAGTAAATTCGACCTTGTCTCTTTGTGGCCGAAAGGTTAGGCACGTCAGCGTATATGACGGTTCCGTATAGGATGCAGGTTCGAATCCTGTCAAAGAACGAATATTTTCCATGAAAATTTCTCGGACATTCAGGCCGGTAAATGTTATTTAATACTGTTTATCATAAAACAGAGCATTTGCTTAAATACTTGTATCTATAAATAACAACGTTAAACATAAAAATGTCTTTAATATATATATATATATATATATACCGTGTGTAACAGCAAAATTGTCTAAATCGTAACAGCATAATTGTCGATCCCACAAAATGGTTAATATCTAAAAAACAAAAAGAAAAAAAAACTAATTGAGTTTCTTTTTTTTAGGTTTTCAGATAAGACATTCAGCCGCCTTGGCACAATTGATCGTCAGGATTTGAGTTATTCAGCTACAAAGAGAACAGGTTAAAATCCTTTTGTGTCAGCTGCACAGTCTTCTCAACTGAGAAATGGTGAGAGGGAAAAGATTATTCAGGCCTTCAGTAATGGCACCAAAATTCATACTCTGGCTTCCATATTCAAAGTCCATTCAAGAACCATCAAGAGAACATGAATATGTTTAAAATAGAGGGAAGGGTAGAGAGGAAAACTGTATCCGGAGGTCACAACAGCAAGAGGGATCATTATTTCAACTTAGAGCTAAAGATATCAATTAGAAAAAATCCAACTCAATCAATAAGTAGTTTGGTACGTGAGAGGAGCTTCAGCT